AAAGATTTTAGCTTCTGGACGCCATTATATGCAAGTATTACATGCCTAATCAGTAGTGAATATTCATGGATGAAAAGGAAAACAGACAAACAGTACTCGGAGAATGCTAATCCAAAAGTTTAATAAAGAGTTACTCTCAAAAGACTAGGAAAGACATTTTAATGAAATTATGAGAAATGCTTTATGTTGTAAAGCTCATTTACTCTCAAATGGTGAAGATGTCTTAGAAAAAATACTCTCAAGTTGGCTAACGTTTGATTTTCCAAAGGGCATCAGATGACCAATCCCAATTGTAAATCTCTACTATCGTCTTTTTTATGCTTTTGCCTTAAGTTGGACTTACTAAGACCTAAACGGTCCAACTTATTTGACAAGCTTACATTGAAAAGCGATTGTAAAAATCATTTTTTTCCCTTACCCTTCTTGTAAAATGGTCTTTTGGGCATCAAAATCATTTAATATTGTTAAAGAATGGGACGGAATAACATAGTGCTAGAAGAATGACATTTCAAGACTATATTAATAAAAAGCTGGGAAAAAAAATGGAACCAAAAAAGGTAAGATAATATAAATAATGCAGATAAAGAGCAAAAGCTGTGCGAGTTTGAGAGTAGAAGTTGAGAATGTAGGATGGAATATGAAACTAGAGTGGAAACAAATGCACAGAGAAATAGTACAAGCGAATGCGTGGGCCAAATATGTAAAGAGAGATATACGTAAAGAAAAATAGTGGAAACTTAAAATGTTATATTTGTCACGCAGATGAGAGTTGCTGAATTTTGGGCAATTTTTGTAGGAAATGAAAGAAAACCTATATCGCTATATAGGAAGGACGAAAAACGATTAAGAATAATCCTTGAAAGTAGGCACATTCCTTCTTATTTCTGCTAACTAATTAGAGCAATAGAACTATCGAATGAAGAAGACAAACGGAAGTGACGAGCAAATAGAGCGCTAATGGCCTACAATTAATATTACCTTTCCTCGTTGGTCAAATTAGGCTTACACTTTTATATTTTTTAATGGGAAATTCGGTATATTTGTAAAATAATTCTTGGAAAATTGATGAGCTAAGGGGAAATCCTCCTTACGAACCAGATTTATGCATACCTTGGGATGATGCCTTGGCATCGTCCCAGTTTCTCTATTCGTATCCATTCAATATCTTACTTTTACTTTATGTTACTTCCATTCTTCAGTTCTCGCGTGACAACGTATTGGATTGCTACTACTTATTCATCGAAAACTTTTCAGCGTCGGAGAAAATGCTGGAAAATTGCTGGAATACCAAATCTTTATTTCAAAAATTTTGTGAGGTATATTTGTATATTATTTTCTAAGCCTATGTAATTGTGCAATTGCTCATTTAAATGGGATATTTAAATTGTGGTACAGCTTGTCAGCCCGTTTGTGATAATCATCACCAGTGAGGCTGAACGCTAAATGAGTTTCACATATCGACAGAATTTCCCCGCATGTGTGCCGGGCCTTGGGTCATTTTTCAAACAGAATCTTTCGCAATACAAAGGGGCTAAATCCTAAGAAATGGTAGGATCTACTGCTAAGGACCTGGTCACTTAGGCTTCGTAATTAAGTCATCATGAGAGGCATATAAAGTTAATATCACAGGAGAATAAATGGGAAAGGAAGAGCAATAAGTACCTATACCGTGTTAGTCTTGGCTGTTTGATGGTGAAAGATAAAAAGAGAAAAAATCTCGGTCTAATTTGGTCTGGGTCTGGCTAGGTAGGAGCTGGCGGGTCAGTTTTTACTTCTGTTTTGGCTCAAAGATGGCCAACTTACGCTTTAACTCAAAGTGGCACCTCCGAATTTTTTCCTGCCCATCCATCATTCACGAGTCTTGCCAACAATATGTCCGACCTTATGAAGATGCTGTACATACCACCCGGGGTAGACAGCATAGAGGACCGTGGAGATGGGCTAGCCGTTTGGACGGGCGATTAGCGAGAAGACGGGACAATTCGTTCGAAGGCATGACGGAGCCATATTTTATGTGAAAACCTGTCAGCATATTTCAGCGATCTGTCAGTTTAAGAATCGTCTTGGGTGTGGTTTAGGTGAAATGCAAAAAAAGTTACCGAAATACTTTCAAGGCTATGTATGCGTACGGAAGGAGAGGGAAATTGCAATACTTCAACAAACAGTAAATTTAGTTTTAGCAAATGTATGAACTATTTGCTAGCGATTCACACTTCGCCAACGAGCGCAGCATCAACGCGCACATGCACACTTCCTTTCCTCTATTGACGGCACATGATACCATATTATTCATTTCTTCCCTTTTATCCAGCATAAATCACGCGAATCCAGTACCAAACTACCTTTGAAGGCGTTGATTGTACAGCCAGCCCAGCGAATTCCACGATATGAACTTCTTATTAAGGTAAGTTTACGTTTGGGAGACTGCTTATTAATGGCCGTCTTAGTAGGATCGAACCATCCTGTCGGAAGGCCTTGAAAGCGGCCAGTTTACGAATAAAACCCATATCTTTTATACCCTCCATTTTCCCAATCTACATGCCGTAGTAACTACATGGCCTACTGTCTACTTGAGTCCCCTTAATCTACCATAAACTTGCCGAAACTTAACACTATCCAGCTAAAATGAATTAAGCATTCCTTGAAACCCTCTTTCTGGTCGTCTAAAGTAGAGTTTAATATATATTTTTTTTAATGATGAAGGGCTGGTAATTGAATTTTGCCACAATGATATGAGTAGCCCTTACTTTTCTATAGACTTTCACTTGGCCTCGCCTCCAAAAAAGTACCCCCATCTAGGATGGAGGAGACTGCAGCTCTCTTCAGCACCCCAGCGGGACTCGAATCGCTGCACTAGCACGCCACTACAAGCGCCCTTGAAGCTCAGGGCAGATGTGCATTTCGAGGAAAGTCAGGCATCTTCACATACCACATTTTGTGGTGGGATTGTCGATGCGGCAAAGTTGTATTTGTAATGACAATAGACCGTATTAGTTAATTGTTGTTTTTTAGTAGGCTTTCGAGACTACCACTAGGTGTTAGTACAAATACAACTTTAATTCATCAACAATCCCAACATAGAATGTGGTATGTGAAAATGTGTCACATCTGGCCTGTGACCCATGGGCACTTGTGGCATTGTGGTGAAGTGGTTGATATGTCGAGATTATACGCAGCCCAGTATGATGGCTGAGTTTCGCTGAGGGTCGAAACTGTAATACAGTCCATTCCAGTCTTGAGGAGAATACATTTTGGGAAAGCAACGCCACGGGAAATTCATTTGAAGCGCAAGGTCTAATTATATCATTGTAAAGGTATTCTACTACCAGTCTTTTACACCTCAGCGAAACTCAGCCATCATACTGGGCTGCGTATAATCTCGACATATCAACCACTTCACCACACTGCCACAAGTGCTCATGGGTCACAGGCCAGATGTGACACATTTTCCCATACCACATTCTATGTTGGGATTGTTGATGAAGTAAAGTTGTATTTGTACTAACACCAACTAGTAGTCTCGAAAGCCTACTTATAAACAAAAATTAACTAATACGGTCAATTTTTATTACAAATACAACTTTGCCTCATCGACAACCCCACCACAGAATGTATCTGATCTACTGTTAGACTCGAAACCTGCTGATAAGAGAAAAAAGTAGACTCCTTGTTCTAAGCAGACAAGTTCCTGCCTGCTAGATTTATCTCTTTTGATAGGAGAGCTTCGTATGGATAACGATCTTTGCCACTTTTTATAGAAAGCGTCAATGTTATTTTGCGAAACTGATTGGCAAGAGTTTAACAAGATGCCTTTCAACTTGTAGAATTCATTCTGTTCTCTCTTAAGTGCTCGCAACTTTGCATTATGGGAAAATTTATTTTTAAGGAAGGAAGACAACGATAGTGGTCATAGCCTCCTTTCGTAAACGCATTTTTTAAGGGTCCTTCGTCATAGTATGTAGTATAATTTGCAGAGTCGGACCCTGGGCTTAGTACATTCTCACTCATTTTAAAGTTATGAAGTTGAACCATCCTGGTTGTTATGTTTTACATTAATTTACTACTTGCTAGTCTCGTTATTATTTATAATTATTCTATTCATCAAAGGTTAATTTTATAGAATTTTCTATAAAAGACATTAGATAATATTATCAAAAACATGCATTTTAATGAAATTCGGTCCATTATTTTCCACCATATCACCAAGTATGCTGTTGTTTATAAAATGGATCACTTAAACGCATTCATTAACAATGTGAGAAAAAGGTGGAATTCTGTATTTTTCGAATCTCATCTACTCTTTATCTTTCCTGCCTTATTTAGCGGTTGATTGAGCACACTCCGAAGAGCCTGGCTGATCATGCTCTTCTTATTGAGGCGGAGATTGCACTTCATCGGATGGCCGTGCGTGCAAATGCCATCAACAACGAGGCGCGCATTGTTCGACAAGAAGAAGCGTCTGTGGAAGGCGTAAAGTTGCTGGAACGCCTCTTGTCACCGGCGGTATGTACTCCATTGAATCTATGAATAAATAACAAAGGAATGTGTCAGGAATAGCTGCTTATTATAATAAAATATCAAATTTCCTAAAAAGCAATTGTAATTATAAATAATAAGTAAATACTAATAAAAGAAAGTAGGACACATTTGTGCTCCCGAAAGCAACATATCGTCAGTTGCTATTAAAATATTTTGAATAAAAAACATTTAGATTATTTTAATAAAGACTAATTCATAAGTTCGATGCCAATTTAGGAGGCCAAAAACCATATGTTATGAAAACACGTACCAACTAAGATAGAAAAATAAATAATAAAATGAAAATATTCTTCACTAAAATGATATCCTCTTCAGTTTTTGTTAAGAACAATTCATAAATTATATGAGAAGTAGCCTGGTGGTCTCGAAACTTTACTTATAAAGGAAAAATTCATGAATTCTCTCCCATAAACTTTGATTATAAAAGAAAAGGTTGTTACAGCAAATTACTGAGGAATTCTTCGAAATCCGGCTTTCCTTCAAACATACTTTAATTAGTTTTGACTATGGTCTATATATTCCGACGGTCGAGAGTATATGATAGGCTGGTTCTAAACTGACCCAAACTAGTATATGTCTGTAATATGAGATGTATTCACCCTATTTCGTTTAAGGTAATGAAGGGCTGATAGTAGAATTTTCCCACAATGATATGGGTAAAGCTGACGTTTCCATTGAATTTCAGATTGCCTTGCTTTCCCAAAAGAGATGAAAACAACTTTTGGGAGAGCAAGGCAATGTGAAATTCACTGCAA